AGTTGGCTCCCACCGCCCAGGTCGAAGCTGGTGCTGAGCCCTTGGTTGGAGGTGCTCCTGGTGGTGTCAACATGGAACAGCTCAACCAATTGCTTGCTCTCCAACATAGGACTCAGCAGGCGATCGAGGAGGCCCAGCAGATTCTTGCACAGGACATCAGCTCCTTGAGGGGCTATGTCTCGACCAACATTGCCATCGTGAACAAGAACATTGGGAGGATCAACCACTTCCAGTTGATCGCGAGGGGCGGTGGTGCTCCAAGGCTTCCGCTTCCTGGTGCGCCCGGTGGAGCTGGCGTTGGTGGTGGTGCTGCGGGAGCTGGCGTTGGTGGTGGTACTGCGGGAGCTGGCGGCGGTGGTGCTGCTGCAGCGGGTGGAGGACTTCCCCCACCACCACCGAGGAGTCTGGGCGTTTGGCTCAAACTCCTGCCGCAAGGGCCCCGACACCCGCTACCCTCCCAGCGCAGCTTGCGAAGAAGCCTTTCAAGCGTTTGGCCCGTACTCCTGCCGCAAGGGCCCCTACATCCACTACCCTGCCAGCCCAGCTTTCGAAGAAGCCTTTCAACCTCTACGAGTTGTGGGACGAGTGGATCAAGGGCCTGAACGGGAACAAGGCCGCATGCGAGTTTACTGCTCGTGAGCGCGGCCGCGTCAAGGACAAGTTCTGCCGCCGCAAGCATGTGTGGGACTGTGTGATTCGGTTGATGGCGAAGGGCTTCGATTGGAGGGCTGTGGTCGACCGGATCTATGCCACCTATGGGTGGCTTACGGTCACCCAGATCATCAACAAGTTCAAGCACGACAAGAAGAATCAGCCCACCGGCATCCACCCACACTTGCGTTGAACTGCCTTGGTGGTACTCAGCCTACAGCGCGATCCTGCTGTAGGCATAGCAAAAACAAATTTTATATTTTTAAGAATTTTTTGTGGTTATCTTGTTTACTGTTTTTCTTGTTGTGTTTTGTTATCTTGTTTGTGATCTGCTGGATTTCCTCTTTGCCATTCTGACTTAGCGATTTTCGAGGACTTTGCGTTTTTCACGTGCTTTTCCACTCTGCCGATCACTTTGCGATCTTTTGCTTGGATTGACTTCTTCTTCTTCCACAGATCTTCTTCTGCGATTCCGTCAACTGGGAGATTCCGTTGGTCCATTCAAAGCAGGATTCCATCGTTCGTTCATACCAGTGACGATGTTCCAGTGAGGATGTTCCAGTGAAGGTCGGAGAAAGGTAGAAACACCCAAAACATAGCCAAAGACAGGGTAACACGTAGAGCCTGGTACTCCATGTACATGGTTGTATTCCCAGTTTCATGGGGAGCAGATACCTTTACCGTGTGCATTGGAGAAAAGATTCTATCCACGAATGCGTTAGAGTCGTTAGCATGTTTGAATTTGAATGTCGGAGTTAACGTTCTTTTCTCGGTCGCACCTTCGGAGGAGGCTGCTCACAATTTTGGAAATTTTGATCCTTAAAAAGAGTGACAGAGAACTAAAATGCTGCACCGCCTGTTGTTCGTAGTTGTTGCTGTTTGCTGGTTTCCAGTGTCGCTTTGCGAAGATGCCACTTTCGTTCCAGATCTCGACGAGACCGAGAGTCCAACTCTTGATCAGAGCGTCATTGCCACTGTAGTACCGGCTGAAGCAATCGTTGAAGCAGAAGAAGAGGAGCCAGAGGCAGCCTTACCAGCAGTGACTGAAGAAGAACCAGAACCTGAGGACGACCTCGTCGTCACAGTAGCTCCTACTGATGAAGTGACTGAAGCAGCTCCGGAAGAAGTACCAGTAGTGGAAGAACCAGTAGAAACACCTGAAGCAGAGCCAACAGAGGAAGAAGTAGAGGTAGAACCAACAGAAGCTGTGACAGTGGCACCGGAAGATGACGAAGAGCCTTCACTATTAATACCAGCTGGTACTGCCACTACAGCACCATCTACAGTTGTGCCTCCTCCTGAGGAAGATTCGTCTGACTCATTGCCAGATGAAACCACAGCGCAAGTAGAGAAAACCAACGCCAATTCTGACGGTGAAACTACCGCCACGGATGGAGAGGAAGACGTCAAGGATGAAGAAGAAGAGGAAACCACTACTGGTACTGGTACACGTGGGGCCAGCAATCCTACCCAGAGCGTCAGTGCAGCCGGTAGACCAGCCTGTTTTTCCCTACTGATGGCGCTTGTTCTTGGCAGCTCTTTCCTTTCTCTTCTCTTCTAGCTACCGGTAGCCACTAGAGTAGAGTGACAATCTTGTGCTGCTGTGCCTCACTTATGCATAGCTTTGAGGATGTATTAGCGTATCTGTATGTAACATACTTCTACTAGTATTGTTCTACCACTGCATTTATAGAATCACTAGCTATCGTCCCAACACTTTGGCTCTACACTTTTGTGGAGTTCGATCACGGCTCTTCTTGGTCTTGGTGTTACTTTTGTTTCTCACCACCAACCTATGCTCACATGTCATTGCACAAGGCCAGAAGATCTCGAACGAGAGCGCTGCGCGACGCCAGGAGACTTATATGAATTACGCCAGCTCATTGCAAGCCTTGAGGATGAATTATGCCAGCTCATTGCAAGCCGCTTCGAGTTCCTATCGAAGCAGATTATTGCACAACAAAAGGAAATCTCTGCGCTACGCCGACGCCAGGAGATCTCTGGACAAAGCCAGCTCATTGCAAGCCTTAAGGATGAGCTACGCTCTGAACAATGCCAGCTCAATGAAAACCTTCAGCAGATGCAGGTGGTACTCTTTGCAGCCGTCCAAGAGAATCGTGCGGGAGCCCCCCAATAAGCTCGTTCCGATCCACCCATCCACTGCCTCGGAGCAATCCAGTCACTGGCTACAGTACCAAAATGTAGCTACCGGTGCCATACCGGTACCGTAGTTGGCTGCCAGTACATGTAGTACATGTTGAGCCTTCATCTAATTTTACTCTAGCAAAACTCCACTACATGTACTGTACTTAAGCTTCTGACGTTCCGAAGGATTCAATCAAGCTTGCTGAGCTTACAGGCTCGACCGTCTAACAATGTAATCAATGTACAGGGTACATGAGTGATAGCTACTAGCTAGAGTACCATGATACAGTACCGGTACGTGTAAGACCTACTAAATATAAGTGCCAAGTGCAAAAGAAGGTGAGATTTACGATCCAGCCACGCGCTTCAACATTGAGCTTGTGCACTTTTGAAACACACACCAGAGCCATCTCCAGGTCCAGTTTCTTGTTCAAAGCCAAAGATTCGAATAAGATTTTCTTCCTCCTCCTCCACATCCTCATAGTATTCAGCAAGCCATCATCAGCAAGCAAGTATGAGCAACTCTGACTCCTCCTCAGAAGACCAGCGCCGTTTCGAAGCCGAGATGGAACGCCTCAAGGTGAAAAGCATTGAAAACAAACGCCGCCATGAAGCTGAGAGTTCGAACGCATCAAGATGGAACGCGAGAATCTCGTGAGTACCAACAAGGCCGAGACGGAACAACACAAGGCGAAGATGGAAGCTCGAAAAAAGGAGATCCTGGCACTACAGCAGGAGAACCTGGCACTACAGCAGAAGAACCTTGCACGACACCAGGAGATCCTGGCACAAGGCCAGGAAACCAACGCACTACTCCGTCAAATCCTTGAAGATGTCCAAGAGCAGGATCATGCCGACGCCTAAATTTTAATACTGTACCTGGTACCTCATTGGAAGAACGACGATGGATCTTTGTTGGGTACCGGTACTGATCGATCCATACCGGTACGCACCGTACCGTAGCGTACCATACCGTAGACGCACTTGAAATTGAAAGGAATTGATTGGTCGACTTTATGCATACTAGTAGTCACTACATAGGTCTAACCAGCCAACCCATTATTGCTAGTATTCGTTTCTAGCTAGTCTAGACTACGGTACTCGTTGTTGCAGTCACTTGAGCCAGAGCTCGTTGCTTCGCTCTCTTGCTTTATCCACGTCGCCATGTCACAGTACTAATAGTAGGAATTCTTACTCATCAAGGTCCAGTGCTGGAACCCAAACAAGCCAGACGCCAAGATTCGTCAAAGTCGCCGCGACGAAAGATTGACCGGAAAAGTGTAGGGGTACGTAATCATGCATGTACCAGTACAGCTCGCGCTCGAACTGAGCGGTGGAAGCTGTAGATGAAGTACTGATTGGGGACTCTCGTCTGTCCGTCATCCGTCTTGGCCAGAGATAGGCCCTAAACGAATTACTGGTAATCGCTAGCTAGGTCAAACTAAATGAAGGCTCTAGCTGGCTATAAATGTATAGCAAAGGCACTACTGTATCTTGGCAGCAGGGTACCATCCGAGGCGCAACAATTTGTGTTTCTGTGGATAGCCTGGTCCCAATTTTTACATTGAGTTTTGCAAGCTGTTTTGCACAAGAACAGGACTGCAGAACTGGGAAACAGCGCAACAGCGCAACAGCACAACAGCACATTTCGATGAGACTAGTACCAGGCACCGTACCGGTACCAGGTAGCAAGCCACGAGCCCGCACAAAGTGGCAGGGACGGCAGTGTCAAGGTCTATGTATGCAAACTTTGTTGCTACTCGAGACTGGTCATCTGGTTACCAATTCAAGACTTCTACTTCTAAAATCAATAACTCTCGCTTTAGTCGCACACAAATCTATTACAGATACTCCTAGTACCGGCAGTGAGACGGCCAAGTCTTCGTCCTCTGTTGTTCAATTCCGCCTCCATATTGATTGACAAAGCGATCGATGCACTCCAGCAATACAGAAAATGGGTACGGTACCAACACAGGAATCACAAGCCAAACACTAGGAAATAATGCAAAGATATGAAACCAATAGGAGGATCCACTCCCTCTGTGTGCGCGAGTTGTTGGCTCCTCCAGTTGATTGTTGCCTTTCAATGACTCGTACTCGAAGACGATGTTTCCTCTGGTCAGACTGATGGTAGATGGTAGGGATGGAGTCGCTCAACAGACCTCTTCGTCTTCTTGTTATTCGGAGTTCGGCCGTCAGGAGTACTGTAGTAGAATATTCTATTCTGATACTCTCCACTCCAGCGCAGTAAAAACATAGTAGATAGCGTTCCCATAGGGAGAGGACACCAAGTCTTTGTAGTCATTCCATCACTCAAAAGCAGTAGTGGAGAAGCTGCCATTATTTGATCCTTTTGTCACCACTCTGTGAATCGATCCGCCGAACTTTTCCTTGTTGTTGCAGAGCACATGATAGTAACTGTTGGACAAGATGGTTGCATCGGTGTTGCCTGTTGCCTGTTGCCTGTTGCCTGTTGCCGCCCCACAAGACACATGGAGATGAAGGTTCTGTATCCCCAATGTGGAGGCACACAGATCAAAGATTTAAAAGAAATTGAAGAAGACTTATTAAAAAAGAGATACGCGTAATATCATAAAAGTGAAAACAAAACTGGTTCCTAACCGGTCTTCTGGTTGGTACCAGGTACCGGCAGCGTGGAAGAGGTCGAAAGCTTTAGACAAACTCAGAATCAGTCGTGTTCCAAGCATCGTTGGTCCCGTTCCAAGCATCGTTGGTCCCGTTCCAAGCATCCTTGGTCCCGTTCCAAGCATCCTTGGTCCCGTTCCAATGCAGTCGTGTTCCAAGGATCCTTTCTCCGGTTCCAAGAATCGTTGGTCCCGTTCCAAGAATCGTTGGTCCCGTTCCAATGTAGTCGTGTTCCAAGCATCGTTGGTCCCGTTCCAAGCATCGTTGGTCCCGTTCCAAGCATCCTTGGTCCCGTTCCAATGCAGTCGTGTTCCAAGGATCAGGTTCCAAGGATCCTTTCTCCGGTTCTGGCAAGGAGGGAGGTGGTAGTAACTGAACTGTCTTTTTTGTAATGGGTGAAGCAGGACGGATGGAAGACAAAAGATCCGGTTGGTGGACCACAGTGTTACCGGTAACTTCATTGCTGCCACTGGAAGTAAAGAAAATTGTTGGAAGCAGAACCAAAATCAACAGTCCAATCAATGTAAACCGACGACCTGAGAGGATAAAACGCGGTTGTTTCGAATTCCCAGATACAGGTACCGTCATTATCCCTTGTTGTCTTGTTGTGTCACTAGCTCAATCACTCCTTCCCAGCATACAGTATGTCATGGAGTCGAAGTCAGAGAAAGCTTTCCAACTTTCCAACGAAGGGGAGCATGCAGTGAAGCCGCGAAGACGCGAGGACTGAAGACATCAGACACCATAACGAACGTATGGCAATAATAATTTAATTCACATAATGGAGGTGCAACTAAAGCTACACGTAGCTACGGTAGCTAGACAAGGAGGTCTTAAGCCAGGCTACATAGCAAGGGTTGACTGTAACTTCAGACGGATCGGCCTACCAGTGCTACCTTTGTACTAGCTAGCTACATGTAGTAGATGAAAGCACAGCAACACACAAGTTGTTACTTGGTATTTCTGGCAACATGATCAGTGTAAGGTACGTTGAACGGAACGGTGGGTCTTCATATCGTGGGTGGGATGAACAGATGATGATGACTCAATTGCTCCTCTTGACACCGAGGAGGGCTTGGCGCAACTTCAGAGGGTTTGGCTTCAGAGGGGCCTGGCTTCCCCGTTTTTGCTTGCATTGCCAATCAGCCTCAAATGCGAGTCTTCAAGCAGAGTAGCTTCTTTAGCACTCATGGAACTAGATAGTAGACCATCATTATATGCACTTCCGCCTTACCAGCTTGCAGCAAGAGATTCGTGAAATTGATGAGACAGCCACCTCCATGTATGTTTACAACATTTCGAATGAAATCAAGGCGGGTTGGGAGGAATCGTCACAGAATCGTCTCCTTTGGCAATATGAAATTGATGAGTCACCTCTTTGTTGCATCCAAAGTCGTCCCACGGCCAGAGACCCACTCCTTTGACGCATTCTGAGGAAAGTCGTGCCCCTTCCACGCGGTACACCAAGGAAGAAACCCAATCGACCAAGGATGGGGGACTGTCACTCGATACGGTCGGAAACGTACATCCATCACTGGCCGAAGTCGTGTAGAATACTTCAAACGGCAAAAAGGCATGGTCCGGCGTATTGATAAAGTAAGACAGCACGTTGTTTTCCTCATTGACATTCTCGTGAAGGATCAAGAGCCGTTCTTGGACCTTCTTGTAGAATCGCGATGGAGTGCAATAGAGGGCATCCAAAACCTGGGCCGGATCGGATTGGGCGAGATAGAGTAACACCGTAAACACATCTGCCAACCCAAAATTTGCAAGGTCAATACTCCCCGCCGCGACGTCGATTCCTTCCAATCCACTGACACACCACCCGTCAAGCAGTACCAAGTCGCCCTTGCCCAGGATAAAGGCAAACGGGACATCCGTATACGTCTTGGTTACCAAAAGAACGGCTTCGAGGCCAAAAAAGTCTCCCTGCTTGCAAAGCTCCAAAATGGTTTGATTAAAACCAATATTCGGCTGACAGACATCCCATATTTCCAAGACCCGGTCCGACAGGTATTCCTTGAAGAAGAACACGTTGGAATCGAACAAAACGGTGGTGATTGGCTTTTGGACTTGCTGTGTGAACCCCGAATTGATCCATTGAAGGAGCAGATTGGACCAGTAGGCCAATGCTAGGGCCCCGGACGACAACCCCCCAAATATGGCTCTTTGCAATGGTCGGTTATCCACATTATCGGCGCCATCACCAAAGTTGGCAAACAACCAATCAAGGACAGCTCTAGCATTCTTGTTTCCTTTGAAATGAACGAGCCCGTCCTCCGTCACCTTGTTGCCCATAAAGCTGTCTCCGGAACAATACGGAAGATATACCAGTGTCCACCCAGCAAAAGGATTGCGTGGATCAGTCGTATCCAACACCCCATTGCTAAATAAAGTCAGATTCAGCGGAAATATATCTTGGACGGTCAATCCACCGTCGATGCAAGTTTCAGTGCTAAAGCAAGCGCTTCCTCCTTGAAACCAGAGCAGCAAGTTACTCACATCACCCGGGATCACCTGAAAGAAATACTCTTGCGGGGTGCCATCCCTTCGAGTGTCAGTAAAACAACGGGCCCCGCTGCTGGGATCGGGATAAATCAAAGTGGAGACTCCATTGCTTAGCTCGTCAAATCTACAAGTCTGGCCCGACGCAAAGTCGATGCGACATTCATCTTGCTGGCTCGATGCTAGTTCTGTCGCTACCACCAGTGCTATTACAACATGTAATGCTAGTCTTTGGATGTAGAGGACCAACATCATAGCTCGTCATTGGCGGGGAGGGAGGATTTTGAAGCAAGCAACAGGTGCCCAAAAGAATCCAGGCTAGCTAGCTACTGGTAGTGTCTAGATCCGTTGTTGAACGCATCCTCAACGCATCCTTCAGTCAGGAGTTTTGCTGGATGTAAGATCTCAGCGAGTAGAACCAAAAACGAGGGGTTGTTGCGAATTTGGTGTGTACCTTGGTGTGTACCTTGGTGTGTTCCTTGGTGTGTTTTGGTGTGTTTATTTAAGTGGCAGGTTCTTTGAAACAGGTAAATTGGTGTGTTCAAGTGTGTTTATTTAAAGGCACAGTGCATTTCTCTGGTAAGCTGGTTGTTTTAGTGTGTTTGTATTTAACGGCACACTTTGTTGAAGAGACTAAAGGTAGCCATAGATGTATTACGAATGATGTTATAAGATTATGAGGAAAAGCTACTTTGTTGTCTCTGGATCTGTAGATGAGTGGAGGCTAGATTCCGGTTGACGGTGGACGGTCAGACGGCCGGAATCAGCACACCCTCAGCCTCTACTCAGGTATGGGCTGGAGATAGCGTGGGCGTTTGAGAATGTGGTGAGCTGTCGGTGATGCCTGCTGAAGTAGTCAGCATCATTCTCTTTGCCAGGGCGCCAATATACTAGGAATTGGCCCTGTTGTATGCGATCTCTGATCCAATAGAAGCGCATGTCGATTGCTTTGGATCGTCGTTGTTTGACTGTGTTAAGGGCGAGTCCAACGGCCACCTCGTTGTCGGTTTAAATCGGGGTGGCTGGTTGTGGATGGCCCATTTCGTCCAAGGTTGTGCGGATTGTGCAAGCTTCCCTGGCATTGTAGTATAGAGCTGCCAGTTCTGCTTCCGTAGCTGAGGCAAGCACCATGGGTAGAATGGAGCTGATGATTAGGATGGCTCCGTTGTGTGGAGGGAGCTTGTCCACTGGTTTGGGAGCTGTGTTTGGTTGTTGTAGTGAGTCAGATAGGATGAAGTGGCCTGCCACTCTAGAGCGTGGGAAAAGAGAGAGATATACTAATATGAACTCTTCTACTCTTTGTTAGATCTCCCTTCACGTAAGCTTCATGGTGAACTTCATTTCATCTTCATCGGATGCGCAGGACGACAGACTTTCTACTTTGTTGCCCTCCTTAGCCTCCAGTTTGTTATTTGCAGCTTCCGATAGAGACGCTGTTTGCTTTTGTGGCAGGAGGAGCATCAGTTTGTTTTCTGACTACCTTTACCGTCTCAGATTGGTTTTGGAATACAGGACGGTACAGCTCTTCTTCACCCTCCTCATCAGAGTATTCCAAGACAATTTCATCACACTTTGTCCTCTTCCTGCATTCTCCCTCCTCTCTCATCTGATTCTGACTCATCGTCGCTGCTTTCATTGGTGCTGTCATCCTTGCACGACAGTTTCATATAACCATACAAGTCGACTTTCAACCCCTCCAGGTTCCCGTCAACCGTTTCATCATCATCACTTGATTTCATGTTAGCTTCATCGTCTAGCATCCTCTTCCCATACACATCTACTGTCAGTTCCGAGGTTGAAAAAATGCAAACTGGGATGGGAACCTTGATGCGATACCTTTACATGAAAAGCCTGCAGTGATCCTTCTGTAGCATCTTTTCCACAGCCCTCTTTGTGAAATTGATAGTTCTCTTGTCAGCTATCAAGTGCTGGTGGCAGCTATCACGAATCTTCTGGTCCCAGGCAGTGGCAAGGCATGGTTTGAGGTGAGAGATGTCACAGTGGCGAGCTAGGATGCCATTTTCCTCGTCCTCCTTGCTCTTGCCATAGCCCGGCGGCCTGTACACTATCTTGCCCTCACTATGCTCGTACTCAGATGACTCTCTTGGGTATCCTTCTACGGTGAAGTTCAGCCTTGATTGTTGGCTCTCCTGTCTCGCTGCTACGACTCCTTCCTTCTTCCTTGTCTGTGCTTGGCAGTTCTTGACCTTTGACCACCTACTGCAATCCTCTTCTCACCAGTCTTCTTCCCTTGACAGGTTACTTTCTTGTCACTGGTCTTCTTGCTTCTCTTCTTCTTACTATTAGCTCCCGATCCACTATCAAAACATGGCCCATCTTCACCATAAAGAGGATTCGACTCGCTGATAGTGTTTCCGGAGGTGAATTTGGAGCGTGGTCTTTTAAGGTTTCTGGTGGCCCACCTAGCACCTGGAGCCCTCAACTAGTTGAGCTTGAACTCAAAGCAAAGGTGGCAGGTATCTTCTTCTAGTCACAGAGGGCACCCACTAAACAAGATCCTGGTAGCATTGGCATACGCCTCTGCATCTGCACACTCACTATCCACCCAAGAACCAGGGAGTGGAATATTATTCCTTGTTTTTCGTTTCGTTTGTCGGGACAGTATTTTTGTGAGACTGACAGATTTTCAAAAATCTCTCCCCCCTTCCCCCATCCTTTTTCAAAAGATAGTTCATGCCAACGAGATTCCTTGAATTTCATGCCAACGAACTCAAACCTTCAGTATATAGAAAACGAATGACCCCTCAACCAGCCCCCAGCCCCAGTAATGCAACGACTATATTGATATAATAACAGCAGGAAGTATGTACTAGAGAGCTAAAGACGCATTCGCTACTATGCATTGCAGTTTAACCGACTATCTACATCCACAGTCCAAAAATAATTAGACATAAAATTGATTTCTTCCATTATGGTAAGGACTAGACCAACTGCAAGCAAAGTGGTCGACGGACAACATCCCTGATTCCGGAAAGCGCTAGCAGGGCGGGCCGCCAGGAAGGTCCCTCCTCCATTGAAGGTGTTTGTCAAAAAGCGACAGCGCTTTCGCCCAGGAACTGTGGCTTTCAGAGAAATTCGAAGGTTCCAGAAGTCAACCGATCTTCTAATCAGGAGACTGCCCGTTCAGCGTCTTGTCCGAGTCATAGCTTCTGATATTAGAAAAGACATCAGGTTCCAAGGGTGCTGCAATGGAAGCTCTCCAGCAAGCATCAGAAGCCCATCTTGTGGACTTGTTCCAATGTTCCAACCT